TAGTTTGCAGGGAAAGGTATATATCTTAATTACTTTTTAAAATCATTTGGGTATATTCTTCATCATATTAAAGATTGAAACATTCTGACAAATACATTTGAAAAATATTACCAAATTATGGGTGGTTAATTAGCTCAAAAATACTAAGTGCATAAGTGTATATATTGTTGAAATGTGGACTTAATCTTTCATGTCAATTGAATAAAAAACAGTTTATTCTTGAATAATAAAGCTTAATATTGTTAATAAAGTCTATAAACGACGATGCTGGAAGAAGAATTTTGGTGATTTTCTATATTCTCTTTATGACCAGTATCCCTTTAAATGGCTGAAAATGTGTTCCAATTTTTCACTCATATGGAGACGCCACCACTTGCCGGCGGAGAGCTGCAAATTTTGTCCTATACTCGGCACTTACGGCCATTGAGCAGAGAGGGGTCTTTTTTCGTGCCAGCACCTACTGCGACACGGGACCTCGGTTTATATGGTCTCATCCGAAGGACCGGTCTCTACGTCCCACGGTGGGATTCGAACCCGCGACGTAAGGATCAGCTCCTTACTTCGCGACTCTAAAGCGAACGTTCTAACCACTGCGCCACGCGGGCGACCACATACGTAGATAATTGAAAGTAATCACTCTTATTGGGACCAAAATTCTTATGAATGTTAAATCCAATGCGGAAATGCATGTTGAAAAGAAATCGAAAATACACACTCTTGCTGGGATCAAAATTCTTATGAATGTTAAATCCCATGCAGAAGTGCATGTTGAATAGAAATCGAAAGTAGGAATCTGAGAGTGCATGAAATTTAATAAAATGATTGGGGAATTCCTGAACTTTCATTACGTCAGAAAATTGTTCATTTAATAAAAGAACGAAAGAATACAGTAGGTTGCTATCATGGCAGTTGAAAGTGTATTTATTCAAAAATGCCAGGTAAGTAATTTGTATGTTGTAAAATACGAGCAACTGCAATTTTGTTACATGATAAGTTTTCTTTTATCTATATTCCATCATCAAACGTGTCAAGTGCAATGTTTTCTTTAAATGAATATTAATTGATATTCGTTGAATGATAGTTATTTACATTATAATTGACATACCTTTAAACATTTGTTATACCAAAAATTTCACACAAGATATCTCAATTACATTTTAATTTTTTCTGTAAATTATCATTTCTGAAATTACGTGTATGTATGTACATGAAGGATGTGGAAAACGGTCTTGGACCATGGCTTGTTTGTCTTATCATGTTGAATATATATATATATATATATATATATATATATATATATATATATATATATATATATATATATATATATATATATATATATATATATATATATATATATATATATATATATATATATATTATATATATATATATATATATATATATATATATATATATATATATATATATATATATATATATATATATATATATATATATAATCTTAGTCAAATTAGTTTGATTTTGATGAATGGAATTTGTTTGTTTCCTTGTTTAACGTCCCTTTCGAGAATTTTTCACTCATGTGGAGATGCCACCACTTGCCGGTGGAAAGCTGCAAATTTTGGCCAAATATTCGGCACTTAGGGCCATTGAGCAGAGAGGGATCTTTTTTTCGTGCCAGCACCTACTGCAACATTGGACCTCGGTTTATACGGTCGCATTCGAAGGACAGGTCTCCACGTCCCACAACTGAATTCAAACACGCGACTTGTGGATCAACTCCTTACTCCGCGACTCTAGAGCAAACGCTCTAACCACTGCGCCAAGCGGGCGACTAATGGAATTTGAATGTTTTCTAAAAAGGGGGCAGATAGTGTGCATGACCCAGAGTTAAAATGTCATAAACTTTGTCAAGAAATTTTTGGATTCAAGAGACTACTTGATGAAAAAACATTGTCCCTATTCATGACGTTCGTTCTCGTTAATCTAGCTTAATGTCGGCATTTGCCAAAAGAACCTGTTTATTCGAAGTATTTCATATATTCTACATTGTTTTGATTTTTATGATTTTACTCAATCATGGTCGTCTATATAAAGATATTATCGTACAACCTTGGAATTGTGTTTATTACAATGAAAAAAATATTGTGGCCATGAACCTTTGATTAAAATACGAAATCCCTAGTTATGACGTTATTTTGATGCTAACTTAACGTCAGAGTCGGCCGTGCGGCTTGTATAGGATACTCAATGTTGTGTATTTGGATATCAAATTGATCTCACGTGAGACAGGATTTTTTTTATATTTTCACGAGTGTTATGCACATATTCCACAACGAAATATTGCATTTTCTGTTTATTAAATTTTCTTTTGACTTTCCCTTTGCCTTTAATTTGTCTTTAACACAGTTCCACAGGGTGTGACTTTATAGTTGAGTGGTTGAGATGTTAAAGCTAAGCGATTGTGAGAATGAACACATTGTTAACATGAATTTCAACACCATATTTGAAAAATAACTTTGGTAGTTAAAGTCACTGTCAAAATGATTTATTTACTCTATCTTATAAAGGGTCAGAGATTATTTTTTTATAATACTCTTTGTGAAGGGAAGCTAAATCGAAATTTTTAGCATACATCTGATATTCTTGAAAACTTTTAATAATATTTAAAAATTTTAATAATTTTAAATAATGAGTAAACCACCATTTGTTTCTTTTAAAATACCTGCAGCATAAATCAAAATTCATTTAAAATATTAATATAGTGAAGTTTTGACAAACTCAACTGCACTGTAAAGCAAGAAAGGAGTATAAAATATAAGTGCCAGAAAAGCAAAGTTTGTATGTACCACTGTAATTTTATGAAACCTTATACTTTCAAGAATTGAGCAAAATTTAATTGTCCATGGAATTTTTTTTTTAGTTTCACGCTCTGTTGTCAGTGCACTATTCGAAAGATTTCATTAAAAACTTAAAACGCCACGTATTTTCCAATGTTCTTGCAAAGATTTTATGATTCCGACAATTTATCATTGAGTCAAATGCTGACTGACGTTTTTCATACTAATTGTTAGACCATTATTTACACACTGAATTGTCGACGGATTTTTCCGTTTTTTCCCGATCATGACAAGGAGCACACGGCGGGTGTGACCGGTCGGCAGGGGATGCTCACTCCTCCATGGCACCTGATCCCACCTCTGGTCCGTGTTTGCTCTGCTCCTATTTTGTATTGTATAATGGACTTTTGAGCTTGAAAACTGTTCGTTATCTCCATATATTTCATAATTTATAAAACCATACAATTATACCTTATCACCTGCATACGGGGTTTATGTCTCTCAATTGATTCGATACGCAAGAGCATGCTCTACCTATGAACAATTTCTAAAACGAGGTAAGTTATTTACAAACAAGAATATCAGCAGTCTCGTTTAAAGTCATCATTTCGTAAGTTCTATGGTCGATACAATGACCTTGCCAGCAAATACAATCATTAAGTCAAATACTAAATGACGTTTTTCATGGCACCTGATCCCACCTCTGACATTTTAGAGGTTTGCTCTGTTCCTGATTTGTATTGTTTAATGGACATTTGAGATTGAATACTGTTTGTTATCTCCATATAATTCACGATAAAGATTAAAAAGACTTCACTAAGCATGTTATTTTTCAGCTTGTTTTCGTTTTTTTTCTGGAATATTTGGTATTGATAAATTGTACTTTTATATGCAGGAAAATGGTCACATTTTATATAGGCTTACAGTATTAATCAAACGTGAAATGATTAAAATCTTAAATAAATTGAAAGCATTCCAACTATTTATTCGCCAAATATGGATGATTAACGAGTAAAAGCATAGCCATAGTCAAAACGGTAACGCCACTAAACCTCTTGGAATACGTTTATTTTATAAAACTTTTCTTGAGGGCCAAATATCCGTGAAAGAGACTAACATGTTTTATGAAGTTGTTTAACCTAATCTTTTTAACCCTGTATGCATTTTCCGTGAATAAACATGAATTTATGAAACACAGTACATGTACTGTGTATAAATATTTACACATTCTTTTTTTTTTTACTTTAGTTCATGTGCACACAGATGAAAAGGTTACATTTTCGGGAAAGTAAATCATCGTCTGTAGACAAGGGCTGGGCCTGGATCATCCTTTTTGGTAAGCATTAGAAACAAGAATTACCATTAAATCACACGACCCCTACTAAATCGTTTTTCATTACAACTGTAGAAAAATTTGATTGTAGAAAAAGAGTCGTTGCCCTAATATACATATCAATACATTGTCAATATTTATTGTTCTAATTCTCGTTAACAAGTTTCAAACTTACCAGTACTGATATTTTTTTCACTTAGAAATTTTCTTACCATTTAAACGTTATGAATTCATTATAATTAGAGGCACAAAAGAATCTAGTAAGGAGATTACTATTTTTAAATTCTGTTCAATCATGTGTAAACATTGTACCAAGATCGTCTTATTGTTCTGGTGAATTTTTTTTTCTCAGTGCATGTATGTAGGCATACATACATGTTCTAAGCAGGACTGACTAACATTGTATTATTGTGTACAGAAGGGACAATTTAACTACCTGGCCGTATTAGTAATGGCCATGTTAGTTATATATCAAGTGTTAGATGTATATATTTCAGAAATCATACCTTGTTCAATTACATAGGCCCAGCCACACTTCTTTACATGTATATACGCTTAATGGACACAACGTTATTGTTTTTCTAAAAAATATACATTTGTAAAAGCCTTCTTTATTTCGTAATTTTTTATTCTATAACCAAATAATTTATTATTAACAACAACAACAACAACAACAAAAAAAAAAACTCAGTCGTTAGCAGGATAACTAAGGAACATAAAATGCATTGCTATATAAAAATATTTAATAGCTCTGTGAACCCGAAACCAATGGATTTATAAAGTTAGTTTGTTTGGTTTAAATTTTTTACTTAAAATGCTATGATTCTCAATCTCTTTAAGGGTGTTTCATGGACCATTTAATAATGATTGGAATGTTCAAGTCCTTTGGATTATTCTTTGTCGAATACCAGCGAAAGTTTTCAGCAACATCATCTGAAATTTCTCTGGTTCTGTCTTTTCAAACAATTATTGCATGCGCTGTTGGTAAGCCTCTTCATTGATAAGAATTTTTTTAAATGTTTATTTATCGATGAACGCATCTTACTATATATTGTAATTAATCTGAATAGGATGACATTTGTATGACTTTTTCTTATATAACACGTGCAATTATATAAAGCTCTTCCAAACTTTTAGAAGTCATTCAGATAAAAAAAATATCAGATAGCCATTCGGGCCTTTCTTCTAGTAATTATATGTATTTGAATGCTCATCAGGATTAACTATACATATAGATGGTTGAAAAAAAAAACTTAAGGTTGATTTATGTATATTTTAGGTTTAATAATCATGGGGATTGGAACACGATACTTTGCAGAGCAGGTCTTTATAGTTTGTGCTGCACTGTTTGGGCTCGCCTCCAGTATTGGTAACGCATACGCTACTGAGCTTTTGGTATTATTCCTCACGCAGAGTACTCTATTTGGTAAGTCTGCTTATCAAACTTATTGTTGAATCAATATTTTTTATAACATATATAGTATTCTATGTTTCATTATTAAGATAGGAAATGTCATATGTCATCATTGTTTTTTCTGCCAGCTATCACATCGCAGAGTGCTCATAGTTCATCAAATCTGATACTTGGTAAATACTTTAAGAAACGCAGGGAAAGGGCATATACGATTGCAAATGTCGGTGGAAGCATAGGAGGAATGACTTTGCCTCCTTTATTTGCTTTTTTATTCGAGGAATATGGCCTGCAAGGTGCGCTCATAATAGCTGGAGGAATTTTTCTTCACTTCATACCTATTGGGATGTTGATGAGACCCATTGAAAGGGGGGCACAAGTATTACTAGACACCGAAGAAAAAGAAAAAAGTCATAATATAAATGGCAGTGTGCATTCTGATGAATATTTTGCTTCAAATAAAAGAATAGAAGAAGAAAATGCAATTGAAGTGAAAAAGAATTTATTGAAATCGGATCATCGTCAACGCTCAAGTTCTGATGGAAAATTGAAACCAGTTGAAAGTGACCTGTTAGGTAGTTCAGATGACATTTCAGTGACAATATCCACGGATCGAGTACATTTGGGAAGTTCCGGTTTAGAAAATGATAATGAAATTCGCAGGAATTCACAATTCAAGTTATCATCCTTATTTGACTTTTCCTTGTTTAAGAATTGTCATTTCATCCTAATAATGATGTCATCGCTGCTCGTGTCTGCTGCCTGCATTATTCCTATTACTTACTTTCCACCTTTCGCAAAAGACAGAGGTTTACAAACGGATTTAATAGGATACCTCGTAACAATTTCAGGTACAAGTGAACTAGTAGGTCGACTTCTATATCTAGCTATTGCTGATAGCAAGAGAATTGAAAGGCGTCACATAATGACCATTGCAATGGTTGTCAATGGAATCACATGCTTTATGGCATTTTTCTCCACTAATTTTACATATCTTGCAATTTTTGGAGCCCTGCAGGCCATGTTTGGAGGAGTCTACTTTTGTATTATAAATGATCTGGTAATTGATTTCATTGGTTCGGACAAACATAAATACGGAATAGCGTTTGGAACGGTGATGAGGGGAACATCAACAGCTATAACCTCCTTCGTTGTCGGTAAGTGCAAAAGCATAAAGAGGGGACGTTTTAAATGCACTACATTATATATCATTTTCTTCAAAATCTCTCTAGATATTTAGGATATTTCTCTCAGTCTTGAAGGCTACAGGATAATGAATAGTGAAGGTAATGAATAGTAATCATGTTCAGAAGTCCAATTAAACAATTTAAGAAGAGTAAACACCGACTCTTGAAAACAGAGGTGAAATCAGATGCCATGGAGGAGTGAGCATCCCCTGTCGACCGGTCACACCTGCTGTGTGCTCTTTGTCACTGATCGAGTAAACGGGAATTTTCAGTTTGAAAATAAATGCATTACAATTCTATATTGAAAGAAATCAGTCAACATTTGACTTAGGGAGATATTGCAATTGCACATACAGGGTCATATTATCGACACTAGAATTTGCAAAATGTTGATTTTAAAAGAGATTGTTGATATTCCCGTATCATGAAACAAGAATATCAGCTGTCTCGTTTAAAGTCATCATTTCGTAAGTTCTATGGTCGATACAATGACCTTGTCAGCAAATAAAATTTATCATTGAGTCAAATGCTGACTGACGTTTTTCATACTAATTGTTAGGCCATTATTTACACACTGAATTGTCGACGGATTTTTCCATTATTTCCCAATCATGACAAGGAGCACACGGCGGGTGTGACCGGTTGGCAGGGGATGCTCACTCCTCCATGGCACCTGATCCCACTTCTGATGTTTGGAGGTCCGTGTTTGCTCTGCTCCTATTTTGTATTGATTAATGGACTTTTAAGCTTGAATACTGTTCGTTATCGCCATATATTTCATTTTAGTAACCTTTCGCATTTTAGAAATTTATCGCATGTAGTATATGCCCTTGCGTATCAACTGGGAGACATAAACCCAATATGAAAGTGAAAATAGTATATTGCTACATAAGAAAGAGAAGTGGGCGGTAGAAAATTTGAAATCATCGCGTTTTTAATAAAGTTCATCTTGTTTACACCGTCTTTCAGGTATTTGTAGATTGATTGCCATATTTATATTGACCAGGTTAAAATTTGATTTAAGATCAAGATCTAGTATATGAGTTTATTAGACAGCCTTTTGTTACCAGATCCATTATTTAGACATATTTAATTCAAACCATTTTTTTCCCTCACTTTAAAACTGTGTACTTGTATCATTAAATTGTGTAAAAATATGACGCAATTCTACAGCATTCAATTTGAAATTATGTGTAAAGTAATATGGATACCCATATTCAATTTGTAATTCTAAAGAAGAAGTCAGGCACTAACAAATAACCATTTATTGAGAGACTGTAGGCTATTGATCTGGATACTCTTCATATTTGTGATACAGAACATTTTTCATCGAAAATGACAGTAAAAAAAAACACATTATTTTGCTCTGATTAACGAAAAAGTATACCCCATATTTAATGATATACATGTACCATGATATGGTAATTAAGCAATCTTAGAAGAATTCACTTCTCAAGTTTGAGAAACATGCAGGCTCTTTTCATTTACTAGAGCTTGATCTTCAATACCGACAGATTTATCCTTTTCATTTTTCTATTATCAGGTATCTTACGAGACTCCACGGGTAGTTATGTGTCAGGATTTGCTGTGATGGGAGCATGCTCAATCCTAGGGGGCTTGATTTTACTTTTCAAGCCATGCATGTCATGATCAAGACGACAGAATCTTAATCATTAACACAAACATTGCAAATAACTTTTCCCGATTTTACCTTTCTGTTTTAGATACATTTGGCCCCAGTAGAATATATATATCAAATTTTGTCCTATACTCGGCACTTACGGCCATTGAGCAGTGAGAGATCTTTTTCGTGCCAGCACCTACTGCGACACGGAACCTCGGTTTATACGGTCTAATCCGAAGGACCGGTCTCCACGTCCCACAGTGGGATTCGAACCCGCGATGTAAGGATCAACTCCTTACTTCGCGACTCTAGAGCAGACGCTCTAACCACTGCGCCACGCGGGCGACTACAATGATTAAGGTTTTGTCAAAGGTCAAGATGTCCAAAAATTTATTTTTACAATAGCTCAATAACTATGTGAGGTATAGAGTTAAAACTTTTACCATTTATAAATATATCATTGATTAACAGATAGAAAGTATCACTTGAAAAGAAATATTTAGAAAATATATTTTTTGAGAAAAAAAATTCAAGAAATTTGCATATTTTAAAAGAAATACACCTGCTTAATTCTGTACTTTTAGTGAAAACCATCATTGCAGAAATAATATATGTTAATCAATGAAGGGCAAGTTGGACGTGAATGGTATCTGAAAGGCGGTTATTGAAAGTTTGACGTGTATAAAGACAAGACCCCTATAAAATCCGCCATTTGCAATGTACTTTCTGTTTCAAATCTTAACATTTGGACAAAATAAACAAGGAAAAAACTTTCCAGAGGCTATCGGAATCCAACTTGCCCTTCATTGACAAACATATATTGTTCCTGCAATGATGGCTTTCACTAAAAGTACGGAATTAATTAGGTGTATTTTTTTAAAAAATATATGCATTTTTTTAAAAAGAATTTTTCTCGATAAATATTTTTTTTAAGTATTTGTTATCAAGTGATACTTTCTATCTGTTAATCAATGATATACTGATGTATTTATAAACTGTAAAAGTTTTAACTTTATAAACCACATAGTTTTGGAGCTATTGTAAAAATAAATTTTTGGACATGTTGACTTTGACAAAACCTTAAGAGTTACATGCATCTCTCTCTCTCTCTCTTTCTCTCTCTCCAAACAAAAATAGAGACCGTAAGACAATCTGGAAACTTGTCCGAAAAATCAACGGAACCGGAAATGAGACTGATTTAAGACGACGAACGGAACGGCGCGTGACGACCCGTCAACAGGACTAATACATAACAATTACCCATTTGCGGGACAGGCTCTTCACGGCAAATTCGAAGCGTATACTTGGTACAATTGGAAGGCCCCTCAATGACCAGACGGTAAGGAACAGAACCAAGGAGGTAGGATTGAGAGCAAGAAGGCCTTATATAGGGTTGGTACTGTCCGCAAGACATAGGCGGCAGCGTTTAGCATGGGTAAGACGTCATCTGTCGTTTACTCGTGTGGACTGCATGGGGTCAGTTTTTGTTTTGTTTTGATTTTTTGTTTTTTTTTTGTTTTTTTAACAGACGAGTCCAGATTTAAGGACATACGCAACGTAGTTTGAACTTTATTGTCTTTTTCTCTGGAGTTGAAGAGTTCCAATACTTAAAGAAAACTGTGTGCTACATATTAATGTCTATACATGCTATTGTACACTTCTTCTAAAACAAGTTTGGATAAACAAAACATCTAGAATATATGTTTTGTAATTTTTGTATATTTTTCTTTGAATTATACAAGAATTTTCATCAATTACCATCTTTTCAAAACCCCTGCTAATGCATGCTTATTTTTTGTCTACGAACATCTGATGGCACTATAATCTTAAATTAAAAATATCTTGAAAAATTATCAGTATGTAAGGTATGTTGCGTATGTCCTTAATCTGAGAAGATCAGATGGCCTTTCCCGCGTCTACCGGAGAAGAGGTGAGCATTACACAGATGCATGCCTGAGAGAAAGAGGAAAGTTTGGAGGGGGCTCCGTCATGGTTTTGGCGGAGATATCTTTGCAACCGAAAACACAGATTGTACCAATTCATCAGAACCTTAACGTTGTAAGGTATCAGAATCTTATACTCCAGCCAGTAACAACACCTCATATCCAGCAAAATCATAGAATGATTCTAATGCAGGATAATACAACTCTTCATACAGCCACAACGTCCAAATCCATGCTATATCAACACAACATCCAGGTACTTAACTAGCCCCATGAAGTCTTAATCCAATTGGGCATGTATGAGACGAAATTGACAGAAGAATAAAGCAACTTCGGCAGCCACAGAATCCTGCGCAGCTTGAACAAGATATAGTGAACATCTTGAACAACCTTCCACCGAGGTTTCTGCACAACTTTGTTAATTCTATGAGGAGAAGGTGCTAAGCAGTTTTTCGAACTAATCGGGACACACACGTTATTAATTGAGACTTTTATTTTGTATAGAACTTATTGTTTGTGTTATTTGTTTAAACGATGCAAAAGATGATGACAAAAAATCAATTTTCTACTCAATGAGAGGTTCTTCTTTATGTCAAACAAAACTCCAGCAGTTGAAATAAAATGATAGAGAAACAGTGAGTGATGAAAACCATGGAGACTCAGAAATTTTGACTAGTGTATATAGTCTTCTTTGTAAATCATAGGAAAATATTTCCCTGGATTTACTTGTATTTATGGTTTTATGTGCGGGTATACATGTAACCTAAAATGAGATATATTATTCAAAATTGATTAATAGTGCAGCATCGCATACATGTAATTTAAAAATGTTTCTGCATTTATGTTGACATCGCCGATCCAAGTGGAAAACGTTATTTGTTTTCCGCCGTCAAGCATTGCCTCTGTGCATTCAGTAGACAAACTCTATGTTTATAACAGCAATCATACTACTATCTAGCGTTTGTTAAAAAAAGGAAACTCATCTTAAAACAAATTAAATAAGGTAGCTTCTTTGAATAATTTTCCTTGTCAATAAATGATGTATAACAATTACATGTATGTCCTTCTGTCTAAAGAAGAGAACTAATCATGGACCGGACTGGCTCAAATGAGTTTCCTCAAAACGCATGACCGCATCTCCATATCAGAAAATCAAGGAAACTACCTAAAGCTACATGAGGATCTGTAAAAACAAAGACTTACATCAGCTTTATATTTCTAGGTCCGACTTGGTGCAATATTATACAATTATGGACTTCAGTGTAGGTCGATATGTGGTTATAAGGACTCATGGCAATTGATATTGACCGATGACACAGAAAGTGATAGCGACCGAGCCTGCGAGGTCGCTATCATTTTCTGTGTCTGAGATCAATATCAATTGCCATGAGTCCTTATAACCACATATTGACCTTTCACTGAAGTCCATAATAGTTATATTATATAATCACTCAAATTGAATGCACTAACACAATCTTAACTGAACAGACTTGGCTGTCATAACGTCGCAATGGTTAAAAACACGATTCTTATATTATGACGTCACTTTAGTGCAACCGAACGCTGTGTCGTGCGATATCATTTTCCGCGGACGCGATTTCGCGTCGATATCACAAAAGGAGGAATATCACGTGACGTCCTTTCAGCCAATGAAAATTACGAAAATAATCTTCTCATATAATATTTGATATAATATTCAGCGCTAAGAATCTGAGTAATTGAATCATTTATTTTAAAGTACTTCTGAATGCAGATATCATATTATATTATATTATTTCACATATACAAGACACCAACAATCATATTAAAAACGATGAGTTGGCAACTGCCAAAAATTTAGAGGGGTAATGGGAACCAGGTTTTGCAGAAAAAAAATCTTTTTTTTAACCCTCAATCGCCCCCAGGTGAATTTGAAATCCGAAAACTTTATTGCATATTTACAGTACACTCTCAATCATACTTCAAAATATGAATGGTGTAATGCGAAAAATGTAAGAGGTGTTCAGGAAGTCATGTTTTTATCGACCCCCTCTGACCTGTAGGGTGAAAATGAAAATTCCAAAACCTTAGTGCACATCTACAGGACACAAACAATCATATTCCAAAAGATGAGTTGGCTACCACTCAAAATGTAAGGAGAGTTTGAGGAAGAAAAAAGTGTGACAGCCAGACGGACGAACAGACCAGGATTACAACAATAAACCCGAACTTTCTTTAGAAGTGCTATAAGTGGTGTAAGTACAACCACCAGCACACACCAACTTGAACTGTTCCTTTAGTTACCAGGCAAGTTCTTTCATGGACAACTACATGCATTCTATAATATTAGAATGTTTTTGCTTGAAATATTGATAACAATAGTCATGCTTACATTAATCAAATGAGTTGAAATATCATTCCTACATTTGACGATAAATGGCAAATAAATATTGTAAGTATAAAAAAAACGAAAAAAACATATTTTAATAGTGCGGTAATCACAGTTTAGAGGAGACAGGAAGCATAAATAATTTTTTATTCCAGTTTAAATAATCATTTATCACCTGCGTTTCAACTTACATGTATAATTCAAACTAGTAAACAGAGAAAATATGGTTAGTAAACAAGAATATCATACATAAAAAAAAAGTCCCAAAAGGTTTAATGTGATTGGTCGAGAGATAGTTCAAGGAGCTTTTAGAAAATTTGAAATCACAAAATTTTGCCAAAATCAATAACATCGAAAGGTACGACTTTTCATTACTATGTGCAGCCATTTCCCGCGATGGATTGAAGTCCGGGCTTTTTGCATCATGGGCAGCTGCTTTTTTAATAGGAGTGGGGCTCGTATATATACTTACCTTGTCATTGGTTGTTTGTGGGATTGTTTATTGAGGAACATTCTGATTTTGGACATAGGTGCTCTGGGCTTCATATTGAAAAGATTCTTTGGTTTTCTGGTTGACCTTGTCTGTGTAATTTTCTGGGATCGGGTCTTCCGGTTGTCTGTTGGAGTTCCCATCGGTACCGTTTGCGCCCCGTTGTTGGCAGACCTATTTTTGTATTCATATAATATAAAGCAGAATTTATTCAAAAACTTCTAC